GGCACCGGCGGAGCTGCTGGGCCGGGCTGAGGCAGAGCGAGAGGCTGGGCGCATTGCTGGAGGCTCGCGCTGCTGCTGCTGCTGCTGCTGCTACTGCGGGAAGAAGCCCGGCGCTGCTCGGACGGGGCGGCTGCTGCCGGCTGCCGCGCGAGGCATCCTTCCCGCTCCATCTCCTGCCCCGGCCACCCCGCGGGAACAAAGGGCGTCCGGACCCAGCGCGCCATGCCCGGCGGCCGCCTTTGCTGGCTTCTCCTGCTCCTGCCCTTGTGCAGCTTCTGCGAGATCGGCGCCCCGAGCCCGCCCAGGCAGTGAGTAGCTCGCGCACCCCTCGGGATGCCATTCCTGAACAAAGCGCACGGAGCAGCGCTCCGGTCGGCAGCGCCGCCCGCCACGCGCCTCCTCCGCCTGTCTCTCCCTTCAGCCCGAGCCTCCCGCGCGGGGAAGAGTGTTTCTGAGTGGGGCCGTCGGGAGCGTACGCAGAGAGCTCCTTGACCGCCTTCCTTCCTGGGAATCTCCGGGCTGCAAAGGACAGGGCATCCAAGAGGCGGATTGGGTTTTTGCACTACACGCGTGGACGCGCACACACGTTTCTAGCGAGCAGATAGTTCATTTTACGCACACGTTTGACACCCTCCTCCCCACCCCCCAGTCGTGTGCGAGGTACGCTGTGGTCCATAGAAGGATGCACACTGTTTGCTTTTACCCAAAACCTTGTCTTAGCTTTCCTTAACAGCACGGTTTATCCGTTTCCTAAGTGTATAATTTGTTCCCAGTGTTAGAATTGGGACGTGTTTGATGTTTCGTCCTCCTCCACCCCGGGCCAGACAGTCCAACTGGGGCTCTAATTCAGTGACTGAACTTAGAAAAGTTACCTGGCCTGTGTCTGCCCTTGCGTATCTTCAGTTTGCCGGAAAGGGTGGGAGAGAGAAGGATTTTCACATCGCTCTTCTGGGGTGAACTGTATAAAGTTTCAAAAGTGTTTCTTCTAGCATGTCATCAGTTGTGTTGGGCTCTTCGGGCTGCCTTGTTTCAAAATGGTCTGGCCACTTGGCTAACAGATGCCTAGAAATATAGCTAAACTGAGAGGCAGTTAAGAAAAACATTCATTGGCTAGCTGGAAGGAGAGACCATTCTGGGGGAAGATGGAGAACATGTAACTTTTGAAATGCAAGATTTCTTTGGTGGCTAGCAAGCACTCTTCTTTTCCTACGATAAATTATGCAGAAATAAATCCATGCCCATTCCCATGCAGAAATAAATCCATGCCCATTCCCGTCACCCAAGTTTGTCACACCAGATTACTTGGTTGTAACTCCCCAGACAAGTATTAAGTATTAACCAGCCTCTGACACTTCCTTACAATATGCACGTCCTTTGTGAGGAGCACATGACATTTTTCAAAGTTGCTTCTAAGCTGAGTAGGTAAACTTTTAATTCTGAGACACTTCTTACACTTTTTCCCCCCAGCAACAGATCTATTCTTCACAAGCTGGGGCGCTGGTAGATATTCCCTTGCTCTCAAGCCAGTTGCAAAAGCAAGGCTGATAAACTTTGCTTTGTTTTGTGATGTAGTAAATGTGCATCAAGCTGGGACGATGCACAGTTAGGTTCTCAAGATGCCTTGGCAATTCCTTCTTAATGACTAAACGCTTTAGCGTTTCCAAAGGCAATACATTTCCTTTTAGGATCTGTCAAAATGGTTAGCAAGTCAGATACCGTCCTAGCATTTGTGCCTGCATTGCTGTGTAGTACGTGATATTGATGTGGCTCTCTCTAAGCCCTAGCAAAAAATATCAGAAATACTCAACTTCTGAAAATATGAGTAGTGATGTTATTTTTTTAAGCACGGTGACTTTTAGGAGCAGAAAAATGCCATTTGCAAGACAATGACTGCATATCGGAAGAAGAATTTTAAGTCGTGTCTCTACATGTGTTCTGCATATGGAACATCACCCACAGTGAATGTGGCCATTTGCAGCTGTTTCCCTAATAGAAGCAGACCTATTTTCTATTTCTCGCTCCATCCCACCCCCTCTTGTAGAGGGATACAGAAAACAGGGCCCAAGATTTACAATTAGAAAATTATATATATATTTTAGCCTGGTATTTGAGGAAGACACACTATATCCTACCCTCCCCGGTTCTTGCGTGCCCAACGCAGTCCGCATGATGTACACCCGGGAGATCTGAACTTTTGCAGAGTTGTAATGGGATCTCCATGGCAATGCATCCTGCTGAGGAAGAAACACAAGGCTTGGAATTTGCAAAAAGACAGGGTTGGGAGCTATAAAATAGCATGACCCTCAACCCCTGGGGTGCCTATTAATCTCCAGTTAGAGAGACCCAAGGGCTGGGCCAGAATGAAACAACTGGTTAAAATATGTTTTAAAGTGTGTGACGTGAAGAGCTGTCTTCTGTGAAGGGCCTTTGGAGAGCTGGGTGCGGTAGAGTGGGAGAGAGAAGCTGATGGATATCGTGATGTCATGAGGAGGGCATAAATAATTCTGTAAGAACCTGAGAATATTGTTCAGCCTTTTGTGAAGCTCTAAGGAGTGTTACGAGTGGCTAATACATATTATCTTAGCCTCGTAACAGAAGATAGAGAATGCTTATGGCCCTGTGCCGGGCAGATGAAACGTTTCCCTCATAACAATAGTCAAAAGCTGGCTAAGTAGGACCGTGCCTAGGAGATCGACCGGGATACCTTAAATAGCAACAGGAGACCTTTAAGATTCTTCCCATAAATGCAGAATTATTTTTACTCAGGGGAAAAAAAATAAGATCACTGAGATGAAATCGTTCTTGAGCATCCATTCAGGTTTTCTTTATCCTTTAATGCAATTATGTACTTGTTCTCAGATTCCAGCCTCCCTCATGGAACATGTTTCAAATGCTGCGTATTTACATATTGCTTAGTAGTCTTTAGAAAGTTATTTTACAAATATTTTGTACATTCTGGACCATGTGTGTGTATATGTGTGTTTGAGAGGAAGGGAGGGAGGAAGAGAGGATGAAGGAAAGCGGTCAGTCATGTCAATTTTTGAGGGCATTGATTCAGGCTTTATCATTTGTTGCCTTTGCTCCCTCCCGATAGCAAACGAGAACGTTTAATACTGCCTTCCATCTGCATTACAAAATCCTTGGGATAATGGATGGTATTATAACCTCTGCTTCATTTTCCTGATCTTTCTTGTTGTAGATCACTTGTGCGGGATAATCCTGAAGTCGCTACAACTTTTCCTTGCCTTGAAATCTCTTTCTTTCTTTTTTCTTTTTTCTTTTCATCTCTCTCTTCTGCATATCCCTACAGACAGGAGAAGCTGTTTTATGAAATACACATTGTGAATGATGTTCTTTTCATAACAATGACTTACTTTTGATGTTTCCCCTTTCCAGGGGCTATTTGATTGCGGTGCCTTCTGTTTTCCGATCAGGCGTGGAAGAGTCTATTAGTGTGACTATTTTTAATCCGGTCAGGGAGACAACAGTCCAGATCCAACTCGTGGTCAAAGGAGAGATGGTGGCCCGTGCCCATGGAGCAGTTCTAGGTAGGCTGTCATTTACGTATGCATAACTGAATGATAGTGGAGTAAAACTGTTTTGATTCATCAAGGAAAAGTTGCTGGATTTACCAAGGACATAGAACTGCAATTTTGTAGAATACTTGATTGGGTATCTAGATACCCAATTTGGTGTGCTCATACCCCAGTTCATCCTTTGTCTGAATGCTTCTGCTTTTTATGGCAAGTTCATCACCATGATAATAGTAGCAACAACAACACGTAGTTACAAAACACAGCATTTCCTTTAGTGATACAAGTACAGTATGTATCACCTATGTTCAAGCATAGGTTTTCCTGCTTGTAAAGAAGTAGGATTTTAGATGCTTTTAGAACCACTTGTACCATTGTGTCAGTTCAATATTTCTTCTAATGTCCTTCATGCAAATTTAGAGTTAGGTGGCAGCTCTCGGCCAGTCAAATATTAGCAACGTCAGTTAATAACGAGGAAGTGATGGTGACTTTATCATATAACTATAGTTGTCAAGGGTACAGTTCTGCAATAAAAGCTTAAATTGACCTTGAGGGAAATGGGTAAATATTTTGAAAAAACAATAAACAAAAAACCTTGTGCTTATTTATTCAGAAATAAGTCCTACTGTTCTTAATGTGACTTACTTTCAGAAGAGTCATTGGATTACAGCCTAAAACATGAAACACTACTTCCAGATAGACTTCCCTTACTTAATTTCTTTTTCAAAGGATTTGCTGCAATTTATTCTCTGTGAGGATGTGGTCCCAAAATCAGTCTTCCAGTTCTGGTCAAGAAGATGCTGTTAAAGTTTAAATATTTTTGTATTACTCAAACATTTAATAGAGTAATACAGTACCTCAAAAAGTAGGGAATACAGATAAATCTACTACTTTTCTGTAGCCCAGCATTCTGAAATTAAAACGACAAAGCCACAGAGCATCTGTCTATCTATCTATAGGCTGCCTGTATGTCAATTATTAAAAAACAACAACCCTGAAATGTGCCATTCCAAAGTAAATCATGTTCTCTATGAGTAATTCCATTATCTAAGTGTTCTACGCCAGCAGAATTTTTCACTACCGCATGAGAACTGAAGAAGCTTTTAATGGTAGCTCGTTCTTCCAAAAAGCTTTGTTGATAGCAGCTGTTTTCTGTTCTCATCTTTGCTGCAAACAGCTGTTTTGACTCTTGTTTTGTCCCAGAAAAGGTGCTTGCATGTCCCTTTCTGCTCCAGCCATTGCAAATCTAGCCTTTACAGCCAAGTTCACTAGGCTTTGACATTCCGGAGATAAGCCGGGGAATACTACCATGAACCCTTTCGTTAGCAGCTAGTGGGGTGGGTGTTTTGCATGTGTGGCTGAGCCCTTGCCCAGTCTGCTGCCGGGGATGCTCAGTTGAGGGGTGATGCTCATGCCAAGGGTAACCATGGACCTTGGTTTTTGCCAAGGTTTGTTGACTTTCTCTCTGGCATCTTGCAGCTGAACTGGAGATTATAGCCAGAACACACACATCTATATTTTTGCTGAATATCTGTGCTAGGTTTGCTGTCCGTTCATACTAAAATAGGAAAATAGTCAAAATATTCAGCGTTAGGGGATTTCAGTGGGAGAAAAATAATGATTCTGAACCCCTTTTCCTTTCTCTTGCAGGTAAAGGAACAATCAAGCTTAAGGTGAGTCCTTGTGACTTAGTTGGAACTATCAGGTACTTACAACTTAATAGAAGCTTGTGGAACAGAATGGCTGCTTTTCACTTTTAGGGTGCAGCAGACAAAATTATATGCCAGGATTGTACCTGAAAAGCAATCTTCCCGTGTCATTTAAGTGGTCAGTTTCACAGGACATCTTTTTGGAGGGTGGCTGGATTGTTCCAACGTTGCTCCCGCTGCACCCTCCAACCTTGCAGTTCCAGGCTTTTGTGCTTCCTCTTAGCTCTCTTCTAATACTGCTTGCACAAGAGAAGCGTGTGCCAGCTCCATTAATTTTCGCTGCTCTGGGAATGGGGTTTAATCTGAACTTGGTCTGGAGCCGTTCTGGAACCTTGGCAACAGTGACTGCAGCATTTCTTCAGTGTGGCTACAACGAAGACCACACATTCCTTGGCAGCATCTCTGAATGTGAGTTCTTTTAAAACAGCACATACCAACTCCTTCAGCCATTGCCAAGGGGTCAGATGGCGGACCTATCATTGACCATCTCCGCTCTGGTCCAGTCTCACCCTCTGCAGTGAAATACTGCTGCTGTTTGTAGTTGTAGCAAAGTTTGCGGTTGCTGGAACAGCTTGAAAATGCCTCTTGATCTGCTTCTGATATGTGGACTAAGCTGCTCTGTTTTGCTTAAATAGGCAGTCCACTTCTGCATCCTGCAGAAGCCAAATTTGAGCTGGTTGCCATCTGAACATGTTAGCAACCCTGTTCTTGCACTGGCCCATATTTATATACCGCATTTATGATTTTGCTTTGCTTGGTGGAGTCAGAATCTCACTAGAATCTTGCAGAGTGGGTTAGGCTGGCAAGCCACTTTGGTGGGGAATCTGAACTTGTACCTTATAGTTGTTGACAGATTGTAACTGCCTGTCATAGATTACAGAATTGTGTTGAAATCCATAAAAAAAATCTAGGCTAGCATTTGGAAAGAAACAGTGTGTGTAATATAATGGGGGTGTGTGTGTGTGTTAAATTTTCTCTCTCTCGCTGCTTTATGATTAACAATTTTTGCAAGAACAAATTTCTATCCACCCCAATAAAGTATATATTCATTCCAAGAATGTTGTCCCTTTACCCTTAAAGAGTTCATTACTCTTTCTTACAATTCAGTTAATTCAACCATTTCTGCAGTCTTCAACAAAACCTCCTCTGGCCATTGGTCTTCAGGTGTTCTGGAGTATACCTTCCATGTTCCTTATTTCTGGGCTCATGGGAGCTCCAGTCAAAATTGTTGCAGGGTAACAGGATGGAGAAAGCTTCTCTGAAGTTTTACAAGCCATGTGCTTTATTTATGAAATAGTTTGGGAACTCAGCATTTCTCTCTCTCTCTCTCTGTTCTTTTTCCTTCTCTCTATGTGGTGACTAGCACCTTCTCCCTCTTTTTCCTTTAAGAACATGAGTCTTTTTTGGAACCCTCTTGGAAAAATGATGGGAAAAGAAAGAAAACAAAATGTGTTGCCTAATAAGAAAATAGAAAGAACTATGGAAAGAATATGGTAGAGTGAATGTTTGGAAAAGCAGCAATGGGGATATTAAGAAGTAGAGGTTTGGATTGGCTCTGAAAACACCTTGCCAGGTCCTCCTTGAGTCTGCCATCGCTGTTGATCCAAACTGTTAAAAAAGACAGGGAAAAGATCCAGTGTAACATTTTTAGGCCCTATGATTTGATTAGTTCTGCCCAAGACTTGCAACTAATATTCATAAATCCAAGTTCCACCCTGGATTTGTCTCCTAGGTTCCCTCAGGACTTCGTGGCCAGGCTCAGGTAAAAGTGTGGGGCAACCATCACTTGGCCGAGGAGGGCTACATCTTCCACAACTATACCACTGTGACCATTGACAGCAAAGGGGCTTCAGTCTTCATTCAAACAGACAAGCCAGTGTACAGACCAAAGCAGAAAGGTGAGACCTGTAGGGGAGCATTGGTGGAATCAGCAGGAGCCTGATGTTTTGTGCTAGAGTGATTTTGATTCTCCCTGATTGTTTTCCTTTTCTTTTTTAGTGCTGATCAACCTGTTTACCGTTAACCCAGACTTGCGACCAATCAATGAGAAGGTAAGGATTTCCCTAACCTTGAGACTAAAGGATCTGCATTTCATGCAAATAGGCTAGATCAGAGCTTCTGGCTGGAGAATTCTGAGAGTTGGCTGGGGAATTCTGGGATTGAAGTCGTACATCTTGTAGCGTTGAGAAACACTGACCTAGAATCATTTAAGTTGAAAAGGGTTTGACTAACAGCCAGTGGAAAAAATTGGTCTTTGCTTAAGATTTGAGAGATTGCTCTCAGAGTAGAGAAGAACACAGGTAGACTTGCTTAACGATTGCCCTGTTCAGCAACAGTTCAAAGTTATGCCAGCACTGAAAAAGTAACTTTATGATAAGTCCTCGCATTATGACTGTCGCAGCGTCCTCGCGGTCATGTGATCAACATTTGGTCATTTCGCAACCAGCGGGTGTTTACAACAGTTGCAGTGTTCCATGGTCACATGATCACCATTTGCGCACTTCACAACCAGCTTCCAACAAGTAGAATCAATGGAGAAGCTGGCAGTAAAATTGCAAGTTGCGGTCATGTGATGTCTTGCTTAACGACCTGTGGTGATTCACTTAATAACTGTAGCAGAAGTGATTATGTGAGTATGTCGCAGTCATGTGATGTCTTGCTTAATGACTGCTTCACTTAGTGACAGAGCTCCTGATCCCAACTGTGGTTGTTAAGCAAGGACTACCTGTAGGCCAAATAAAATAAAGTAATTTGTTTAGGAAAGACATTTTGGTGCCTCCCCATAACAAAGTTATTTTTCTAAATTTGGAGAATGAAAGGAAAGCAACCAAAGGAGGTGAGGTTTTTCTTTGGGGGCGACCCATTTATGGAATTCTCTCCCCAGAAAGGCTCAACTGGTGCCCACACTAGCTTCATTTCCATGCCTAATGAAGACTTCTTTATTTTCCCAGCCTTTTTATTCTGCTTTTAATTGTACTTAAATGCATATTATTTTAGATTTTGGGCTACCAACTTGCAGCTGCCTAGTTTATGTGGTGTCTTTATTTTGCATTTTGCTGTATATGTTGTATTTTTGGGGTGTGTTTTAGTGTGAACTGCTCAGGGAGCTTTGGGTGTTGGGTGGTTTTAAAAAAACGAAATAAATGAATAAGCTTGGTTTTAGTGCCACAATGCCTAGTGGAATAAAGTTATTTAATTCTCTCGTTGTTTTCTTTCAGATTGAAGCTTATGTGCTGGTGAGTATCTGGCAGGACCCAATGGCCAAACCATTGGAGTCTTCTCTCCAGGGGGGCCTACAGAGAGGGATTGATAAAATCAAGATAGCAGGAGCAACCTTTTTTTAGCGTATTGCATGTGTGATGTACATAAAAAAGGAATGAGGTTTTGATAGCACAGGTGCCATATTGACTTTTTTGACCCCCGGTGGATACCCTGATTTCCCTCATCATGCAGTAATGCTTCCAAAGTTATATAAAGGTTTTCCTTGAGGAATATTTTTCCCATTAAAAAGTTAATGAACTCAATGGCCCAGACATCTTTTTTGCTAAGATTTTGTGGCTTAATGTAGATGGAAAGCGTGATCTGCCCAGGAGACTTGAAACACTGTGCTATAGGAATATTTAACTTTTTGCTCTCAGGACCCCTCCCCACTTTTAAAAATTATGGAGGATCCCAAAAGAGCTTTTGTTTGTATGGGTTATATTTATTGATATTTACCATATTAAAAATGAAAATTGATGCATTCAACTTATTTATTGAATCATGTAAAAATAACAACATTAAACCCATCTGATATTAACATAAATAAAATATTTTTCATGAAAAAACCCTGTATTTTTTAACAAATAAAAAATAATAATGAGAAGAGTGACATTGTTTTACATTTTTGCAAATGTGTTCAATATCTGGCAAATAATTTTGATTTTGCGGACTCCTGAGAGGATCTTGGGTGACCCCCAGGGGTCCTTGGACCACACTTTAAGAAACACTGCTATAGATTAAGATGAATTCAAGCAAACCAATTTTGTTTTCCAAACTTAGGATAGATGTGCATATTAGGAAATGCTGAAGAAACTAGGGTGATAACAACAACAAAAGTTGATAAGGAGTAATTAAAAAACGTTTCAGTTTTCAGAAATTCTTAAATACTATGTATTCTGATAATTGGCAGATCTCAAGCCTGGGCCCTGGATACGTGATGGAGCCTATTTGTGTTAATTGATGTGGATTTGTGGATTCTCCCAGCTGCTGTGTGTTTTATTTTTTGTATTTGTATATGGATATGTTTTTTTTACCTATTTTTAACACTGTTAGCCACCCAGAGTCATGTATTTGAGATAGGCAGCCATATGAATGAATGAATGAATGAATGAATGAATGAATGAATGAATGAATGAATGA